GCGATTGGAAATAAAGGAGGATATGAAGAAGCCAACGCAGGAGGAGGGGCAGTGCATGGAATCCCTAATGAATCCTTATGATGAGGCCGGCCGTGCTGCTCAGGGAACGGTTAAGAAAGCCACCTTCTCTGTAGGGCATCTGGTGCCACAGTTACAGCCTGCCGGCATTGTTTCTGAGAGAGTGTCCGATAACCGATGTGGTCCAAAGTCACACGTTCCTTCACCTGAGGTTGCGCCTTCAGTGCATGTGAGTAAACAGAATGTGGATCGCATGCCTATACCCAGGGGAGAGTCAGTGCTGAATGGGGACCAGCGCCAGCCCCATCACCCCCTCGGGCATTCTCTGAGTGATGTACTTCCTGGCCCCCAGGCAGTTCCCGCTACTTCTGGAATATTTTCTAAGGGTTTGGTCCCCCTGGAATTAGAAGCGAATGCAAAGGGTCCGAGCGGAGAGCAGACTAGTGGGGCAGCCATGAAGTGTAATTGTGAATCCTGTCTGGTGTCCGAATCAGCCATCAAGGAAGCCTCATTTTCTGAAAAACATCCAGTGGCACATAAGCAGCATACCGGCATGTTTTCTGAGCGAGCGCCCGAGGTTGAGAGGCCAGAGCCCATTCATATAGGGCATGTGCCTGCACATGAGTATGCACCTTCAGAGGATCTGACTACCCAGAATGTGGAAGGCATGCCTGTGCCCAGAGGAGAGTCAGCGCCGAATGAGGACCAGAGCCAGCCCAATCACACCCTAGGTCATTCTCGGAATGAAGTCCTTTCTGGCTTCCAGGCAGTTGCTACTACTTCTGGGATATTTTCTAAGGGTTCGGTCCCCCTGGAATTAGAAGGGGATGCAAAGCGTCTGACCGGAGAGCAGACTAGTGGGGCAGTCGTGATGTGTAATTGTGAATCCTGTCGGTTGACCGAATCAGCCAACAAGGAAGCCTCATACTCTGGAAGTGATTTGATGATGCATAAACAGACTCTCAGTATACGGTCTGATATAGCGCCCGAAGTGGAAAGGCCAGAGACGATCCAAAGTATGCGTGTGCCTGCACCTGAGGATGCCTCTTCAGG